GCCTAGATTTGAACCCAAGCCCATCTGATGCCAGATTCAAAGCTCTTTGCCAAAATATGATGCAATGCCAGACAAAAAAGCTCACTGCATTGCAGGTCTTCCTTTGAAAGGGTCTTCCAAATTCCAGACCAAAATCACTTGAACCACCCCTGAAGAGAGCCTATGTCAGCTTCACAGCGGTTGAAATAACTCTTTGAAGCTCTTGGAAGTACTTAAAGATGTCTTTAAATAGTAAACAAAGAAAAAGTAAAAAAGTAGTAAGAGCAAATTGGTTTAGTGGAGACGAAACTGGCTTCACATCCCAGTTCTGACTCTTAGTAACTATGTAACCTCAGGACATTTGCTCTGCCTCTCTTAGCCTCAGTAAAGCATGGGTAGAAATAATTGCTTCAGAGGTAGTACTATGCTAGCACAATGCTAGAAATAAGTTACTTCCCTTAAAACTGTTCTATTGAATACATTGTTCTATGGAAAGGCAATTGATCACAACACCTTCTAAACGGAAAACAAACAAACAAATCCTGATCACTTCCTTAGTGAGCATCCAAAGAGCTCGAAACACCTGTGATAAATGTGACACGAAACAATTTTCAAAAACTTAGGCAAATCTATGTATATGTGCATATACTAAGGGCAGTATCTCTCTGAACACATCTGGACTACTTCATATTTCCTTTCTCTCTCTCTCCCCACCCCCAGTTCTCTCTGTCTCTCTGTCTCTCTGTCTCTCTGTCTCTCTCTCACACACACACACAAATGAAATCCTGATGTAACATTATCTCTCTCATGCTCAACATGTGCCTCACACTTGCTCAGATAATAGATATCTCTTCTCTAGCCAGTTAATTTCAACAGTAAAAAAAAAAAAAAAAAAAAACACATGAGGATGTTATGGAGATAAGGCATCCCAGAGAACCGAAGATGCTGGTAGCTACTTCTTTGGTGACAGAGAACTCTTGTGATTAAAAGGTAGAAGACAGCAGACAAAGTCTCCCCTGTTCTCACCACTTGGTTGACTCTAAGACAGGTGGAGCCCGCTTCTTGTAACACCAAATTTCACGTTGCTTTTTATGAGCAGAGGGTCCATTTCTACATTGCACCTCCGGATTTAAAAGAGGAAATTTAAACCTCAGAATAATGTTTTTTGCTGAACAAAACGTATGCCAAACTAAGCTCTGACTGACTTCTGGTTTTCTGAGTCCCGGCCTCCAAAGTTTTCTCAGGTTTCCAGTACTGGGCCGAACTCATTGGCTGGTGCCATTTCCTTCTATGTGACACTTAGGTGGAAAAGGGACAAGAAGTAGGAGGGCCACCTCTAAGTCACACTTGGTGGACGTGGTGATGCCCGAAAGATCCAGAGAATTGTTTTAGATTCATTATCTGAGCATGGCTGGCTCTTATCAGCTGTACTTCAGGAAAGGCACCAATGTGTTTTCCTAGGCATTCTGGGGAAAAAAAAAAAAATTCCAGCAAGCAGGGGGAAAAAAATCATACAAAACAGCAGTGAGTCTGAGCCTTCCTTCCTCAGCCCCATAAAAGCCCGTTTTTTAAGGCGGAGGAAAGCCACGCTTTGCTTTCTGACTAAACAATGGAGCACTGGCATCTTTGATCTAAACTGCCTACCGGATTCCCTCAATTTCATGACAGTGGTCCAACTTTCACCTTCCCCTTGAATAGATGAACTGAAGCTTTTCTGACTCCTACACTTTAAAACTATATCCATCACCAGTAACAGACAGGTTATTCTTGGATCACAGCGGATTCTGGCAAGATGCTGGGCCGAAGCAGACGAGGATAAATGAGAATACGATTATTCAGTTCTGCTTGCCGTGGCCACCGTGCCCGCTGTCATCCTCAAAATTCCCACAGAAATGAGCTCATTCCACTTTAAAACATTTCGGAGCTTAAAGGTTTAAATCAGGCCAAGTTGATTTTGTGGGGTTTTTCAGGCTTTTACACTGTAATTACATACAGGACTTCATGCCACCTACTTCCTCCCAACTGTAACATTTTACGTCTTTTTTAAGCATACGTTGAGGTTAGCCTTTTTTTTTTTTTTTTTCTACATGTTATGAAATAAGATATGAACTTGTGCTCAGCTTTAGGTACCTTTCTGCCAAAAGGCTGGACCAACACAAACTAAATATGACTATTTTCTTTATCCAAAGTACAGTTTTGACTATTACATACCCTCTTAATGTACATACATAAAACCGGCTCACAACTAAAGCTCCCTGCAGGTCAGCTGAAATCATAACGAGATTTTCCTTTCATATAATGTGATTAACAAATGTTAGCTAACTGAACTCCAAAAAGACTCAAAAGAAAAAAACAAAATAACTCAAGCAGCACCGAGAAGTAAAATGATTCAACAATCTTCGTATTTTTTCCTTGCTTTTTCACACCTTTAATTAAGCAAATAGCCTGTTCCACTTGATTATAGGTAGCTGCCCTAGAGGCAGATGAAACCGAGAGCGAATTCCAGCTCTATCTACTACAATATGAACTTCACAAGCTACAAGACTCTTTAGCCTCAGTTTCCTTGCCTGTAAAATGGGGGTAGTAAAAGGTCTCAAAGGACTTTTGTGATGGCTAAATTAAATAATGCGGGCTTAGGTAAGTGCCAGCAAATAAAGTGTTTCGTAAATGTTGCTGTTACTGATATTATCTCTCTGCTAAAAACGGCTACCTTCCAACCTAAGTATGCAATGCCAACCAGCCTCACTGCAGTCTGGGGTGCTTTGAAATCCAAGGACTGCAGTAGATCCCTCAGAAACTTACAAGAACATACACAAATAGAGAAGTGGCCATCCATCTATTCCTTCTCAATTTTATCAAGTCATTACAAATGTTTGGAAGCACCGACTATGACAGCTTGGGTCCCATAATCCTAAACCTCTGCAAAGGTCGGGAGAACGCATCACCGAACCTTTCAGTTCGTGAAGGAGCTCAAGACATCTTATGAATAACAAGTGAATGGGATTGCCAGAGTCAGGACTTCACGTGTTTATAAAAGGATATCTAGGGGTGCCTGGGTGGCGCAGTCGGTTAAGCGTCCGACTTCAGCCAGGTCACCATCTCGCGGTCCGTGAGTTCGAGCCCCGCGTCGGGCTCTAGGCTGATGGCTCAGAGCCTGGAGCCTGTTTCCGATTCTGTGTCTCCCTCTCTCTCTGCCCCTCCCCCATTCGTGCTCTGTCTCTCTCTGTCCCAAAAAAATAAATAAACATTGAAAAAAAAATTAAAAAAAAAAAAAAGGATATCTAACAGCTCTCACTCAAGGGAGATACCTTCAGATGTTGAAGATATAAATGAACTTGCTATCCTTCGGAGCTTAATCAATACTTTTTAGAATAAATAATCATTCCCACTCGAATCCCAACTGAGGCTTCTTTTCTCTTCTGATTCATTCTTTTAGCTTCAAAACAGCGGGATTCTAACAACTCTCCTATTTTCAGTAAGGCTGTGCTCTCAAAGAAAAGCACTATTTTCCACCCTAACGAGAATACTGAAAAGGGGGATGGCTCTGTGTAGAATTTTTCATAATGTTATTCGGGAACAGTTTGCAAACTGTATATTTAAACTTTATAAGTAGTAACACTGCCAAAGAGAAAAACACTAGTTTCACATGTGGAGCTCCGAGCACATTTAAATGTTATTCAGTAATGTCCCCTAAAATCTTAAGAGATTAAGATAAAATAATTTACTCATTTTATACAGATAAGATCAGTGAAAAGGGAAGGTTATCACTCCCCCAACCCACCCTCCACCCCCCACTACATTTGTAAATATACAATGGAGACAAAATTTAAATGCAAAACTTCAACAGGTCATTTAGTCAAGGATCACTAACTGACTCGGCAACTGGTAAACAAAATCTAAAGAGCCCCTTTCCTGGCTCTCTTTTATTAAGGTAACAACATTTACCATCTCAGCAAATGTAATGTATTTTTACCTCTGTTTCTGTTGATTCCCTTAGTCTTCAGAACCTGATAATCATTTGATACAGACATTCACCTTCACTCATTTATCATTTTGCAACATTGACCTCATCCCTTGTCATGAGAAAGTTTGGGTAGTTTAAACCCAGATGGCTTGGCTTTCACCTAAATTGAGAAGAATCCCTTCTACGGTTCCATACAGCATGTTGATCTGTTAACTAGCAGTCATCTATCACTTTTGGGCTTTGCATTTGACTGCCTTAATGTTTTTCCAACAGGGTTTTGTGATGTGTAGTTCTTAACCAAGTTTTGCCAAAAGTGATTGGCATGTAAAACACTGTCCAGCAAATATGTTGCTCTTTGTGAGTCTATATTTCATCTCAGAAATTCATGTTCATATAACTTAATCTCCCCCATGTGGTTACTCATTAGATCTTATCATTAAGTATTAAACCAAAATAAATGGAAACAATTTTTTTTTTAGTCTATTAGACACTGCCAGTGTTAACGAAGCAGCTGATGGCCAAGTGTCATTCTCTGTTAAGGATAGAATGTCCTTTCTGACTCATGCTCCCAGATCAGAAATATAAAGACTGTTCTGGAGATCTTAGGGTATCACAGGCAAAGAAATCCAAGATTACACCTCATCCTCATGTTTGTTCTCTGTGACTGTCACCTCTCTTTCCTCTTGTCAGGGATATCTTATCCCCGACTTTTACACTTAAACGTTATCTCATCTTCCCACTAAGACGACAGAATCAAGACAGAAAGTGTGGTGGCCCCTATGATTTGGTGGCAACAGCCATTCCGGGAACAGACAGTGCCAACGGTAATTTTATCATTGAGACGATGCCTCACAAAGCCCATCTTAATTTTATTTCTATAAGGATGATGTCAAAAATAAGAATCCCAAAGAAATTCAACTGAATGCAATTTGCCAGCTATGTGCAGTTCTGTAATGACTAAAAACCATTTTTAAGATCTGGTTATATTATTACATTTAATGGATTCACCTTGTCTAATGGAGCAATGGGCTTCACATTACCTGATCTCCATACTTACCAAGCAGACACACATTATACAAGGGTTGTCTGTGATGAATGGGATCTGGAGGACTTCACCTTCATTTTCACATTTCGCAACAGAACCTGAAGTGAAGGGGAAAATTCAATCTCACTGAATGGCATTATTGCAAACATTTAAATTTTTACCCTAATCCTTTTTGAAGCAACTACCCAGATTCAGAAATCTCTAATGAGTTTTAAATTATCAAACTCAACAAAACCAAATCCCCCCCAGAAATAATTATTTTAAATAATTTTATTTGAGATTAAAAAAAAAAAAAAAGTCTGTCATATATAAACAGATTTTCTGCTCTCAGATGACTTAAGTACAAATCCAAGTATTTCACTGACTCTTTAATACTCCTCCTCCTTGATGAAGGTATTTCAACTAAACACATATCCCCATATGCGCAAAAAAAAAAAAAAATCAAAGTGGACATTAGGGCAGAACAAAATTCAGGACTGTGGCAATGAACAGGCCTTTCTATGAATCTGCCTCATATAATCTTGAGTTTAAATCACTTTTTGAAACAATCTTCTTTCCTCCTCTCTTAGAAACGGACTCAATATTTTCTTTTCTGCACCAGGTGTCAGTAAAGTATGTCCTTCAGAATAGTAGCTGAGGTCTTCACCTGCCTGAAAGCATATCATTATTATATCCTGCTGGTATTACCCTTTTAAAATAAATTCAAAGTCTGGAGTGCCAGTGTTTTAAAAAGCACTCCTTACACAGAAGCTATGTCGGAACCTTGTAGAGTGAGAAAGAAGGGTATGTGGAAAACGGCGCAAATGTTTTTCCTTGATACGTACATGAAGGGAAGAGATCAAAACAAGGGTTGGGGCAAACAATAAAAATAAAGAAATTTCTCAAATTCCAATAGAATTTCTCTTGATGCTAACAGCTTCTCAGTCCTCCACCCCTTAACCTACTCACTGCCTTCCCACCCCTTAACACGGCGGGCTTCGCTTCATCCCCACCGGCCAGCGAGTGGCAGGCGCCAAGGTGCTCGCTCCCCACCCTCCGGTCTCCCGGGCGAGACAGTGCCTCGGCTCCCAGGTACCAAGCCTGCGTCCGGGAGGGCCGGTCCCTCCCGCCCCCTCCCCTACCTGTCAAGAAGGAGGAAGCCAGAGACATGGGGACCCCCGAGCAATTGAGCAGCAGCAAGACGCAGCAGGTAATCCCGGGCGAGCGCCGGCAGGGACGCTCAGCCAGAGCCCTGACGCCGGAGAACCAGAGCATCGTCACCTGGAGGGAATCCCGGGCGACTGCAGGTCCCGCGCCGCCGCCTCTGCTCCGCTACCGCCGCTCGCAGTCAAAAAGGGCTCTCAGCCGGCGAGTCGGGAGACAGTCCGCGAAGGAGGGAGGCGGGCGCCCGGGAGGGGGGGCTCGGGGGGGGGGGGGGCGGCGGGGGGGGGGCGGCCCGGGGGGGGGGGCCCGGGGGCCCGGCCCCCCCCCGGGGGGCTGGCTTTTTTGTTTTTTTTTAGGGAGTTGCTCACAGTGGCTTAGTCGTCGGCCCCCCTACGCCAGAGATGGGGCCGGGAGGAGGGGACGGCGGAGCAGCCGGAGATAGGCCGAGAGGAGAGGCTGCGCTGCCGACTGCGCACCACCGCTCCGCCGCCGACGCCGCCGCCGCCCGGGCTGCAGCTACTGCCCCGGGCGCTGCCGCTGCAGCCGCGTCTTCCACTCATGCACTCCCCACCTCCCGCCGGCCCCGCCGGCTCTCCGGCCGGCCGGCGCGCGCGCACGCTCCCGTGCCCAAGACGGGGGCGCACCGGCCGCCTCCCGGAACCCGCTGGGGGCGCCCGGGTGCAGGAACCCCGCGCCCCGGACACGTCTCAGCCGGGCGTCCAGCCCGCTCCCCAGCCCCTCCAGGGAGGCCGCCGGCCCCGGGTCGCGGATCCGAGCCGGGCAGGCGTGTCTCCACGGCCCGGCGCGCTCGGTGCCTCCTCCCTTTCCCGGGGAAACCCTCCCTTAACGGGGAATGCCACACCGCTTCTGCTCACGCCCGGGTGCCCCAACCTTATGAGAGAGCAGAAAATGGGGCGAAGGGGCGCCTCACCACCCTGCTGTCTCCCAGGTGCCCCAGCTTTGGGAAGGAGCGACAAACGGGGCGCAGGAGGGGCCCAGCAACTTTTCACTCCCGGCTTTGCTTCCCTCTGGCGGGGGCGCGGCAGTGGACTGCCGGGCTGAGCGGACACAGGGGCGAGGCACCTCCGACATCAGTGTTCAGTGCTTAAGTGTCTGCTCGTGGTGACATTAGGGAGGACAGAAGTTGAAACGACAGGCAAGGTCGATTAATAAAAGCACAGAGGCGAACGCTTTTCGCCCTTAAAAAAGAACAGTCGCTCCAAGACTCCTCCCTTCCAACCTCTGGCGCACAGGGGCGGGGAGGTGCCGTTTGACTAATCATTCATTCAGCCGCGAAAGAGGGAGGGACGCGCCGGGCGGCTTATCTCTGGCGGGGGGCGCCACCGGGGACTCCGCAGCTCGCAGCTCTGTCGCCGCCGCAGCCTCGCGGCGCCCTTCTTGCCTCTGCAGCCCTGGGTGTCGGCGAGTCCGGCACGCCCCGCGGATACCTCCGCCCGAATCGCGGCCTCCTGCCCAAGCAGTAGCACCCAGCCTCTGCTCAAAGAGGGGTTGCAATGGAGAAGAATTTTTGTAACCAAATTGTGAAGGCGCGGGGTGGGATTTAGGGCACATTTAGCTTGGGCTGGAAGCTGATAATCAGCTGTCTTCGGAGTTCACCGTGGGTTGCCGGCTTCCTCCCCCCAAGAATGGAAACCGGGTCCCGCGCGCCCATCCTCCTGGCAGACCCGCCTGGGAGGATCCCCAAGACAATCTTTGCCTAGCCAAGCACTTTTCTTAGCGGGACGCACTTAGTCTCCCGGCGAAGTGGGTTGTCTGCAGCCCCAGAAACCAAATCTTTGAAAATGAATTAGTCTGTTTGCTAATACATTTAGTCTAGTTCCATCTTATCCCCTCCGCGCTCGGGGCGGGAGTGAGGGGTGCTGTTGATGTGTTTTCATGTTTTTAATGCAGCATTGCCCACGTCCCGCACAGCAAGGAGCTGATTGGAGCACACTGCTCCGACAGGGAAAAAATAAGGGAAGGGAGAGCTGTCATTAGCCTAGCACGCTCCATTTCCCTGTCAAAACAGGTTTTTAGTATAAAAGTTAAAAGAAAAGAAAGATGATGTGTGTGGCTCTTTTGGGGGTCCCCCCTCCCTCACCAAAAAACCGGCCGTGGCCAGGCAGCTTCTTGAAAATCAGAATGTGTTTAACGTATTTAACCATAAAGAGGGAAACTGTAAGAAACGAAAACCCTCCAAACCCAATCTTACCTCCCAATTCATAGTGACTGATTAAAAAATAAAATAAAAACTTTTATTACTAGATAAGCACAATCCGTTGAAACCACTATCTTCTCAATCTAAAAAGATTCTCTCTGCATGGGGTTTTTAGAAAAAGATGTTAATCACAACTTAACTAGGGAAAAACAGAATAATGAGGAGACTGAGAGACCTTTTATTGCTGCAGACTTAAGCAGTGGATTTGGATAAACACATATTAAGGAACCAGAGGAAATTTGAAGAAGGCCTGTGAGTTGCTCTGATGTGCCTTCTCTGGCACCAGCCACACACCCTCAAAGGTTTGCATGACGAAATTCTTCATGATGGAATCTAGGTGTGTGTGGCCTTTGTCTAACAAGGGGCGTGGTGATTTGGGATGCATTGAAACCCTCTCTGAGGTACAAATCCAAAAACCACCTGAAAAACATTTTCATCTGTCTGGAAGTTTACGAATGTGAAAGATGTACAGAAGCCTTTGGCAAACCCTACTCCCCAAAGCATCCGACTCCCCAAAGGACTTACCAGAATGTTCCTGCACACATTCATTGCTGCTGCTGCTGCTGCTGCTGCTGCTACCCCTTCAAGTGAAGGTCTATCAGCTGCTAGTTGGTCTCTATCTACACAAAGCTGAGATATTCCAGGGTCCAAAAAGAAAGAAAAGAAGGCCTCATTGAATGACACATAAAATCTGCTTTCACAATTAAAACAAATGGTGGTACCACCCAAATCCCAAAATGCTCTTGAGGGAAATCGAAAGAAGACAATGAATGTTTAGCTTTGTTTATGGCATTTTTCAAGGAAAGGAGGTAATGGGGCTCAAAGACTATTGCTTAACTCATGACCCATTCCATTCTCAGATAAAGTGCTGTCTCGTCCTCTTTACAATAAAATATATCACCTAATCTTACTAAAAGGAAATCAGGCTTGTGGTAGGAGAAATTCTCCTCATCTCTTTCAAAACTGTGATACTGAAGTTGCAGTGAAAAATCCAACTAATATATAATTTAGCCAAAGAGATATATCAACCAGCATCCTAAAAATAGAAACAAACAGATCCATCAAAAAGGCAGCAGGGTAAAGGGATAGTGATACCAACCACTAGGGAGGGCCGAAAGTATTCCATAAATGTGTGAAGGTTTTGCTTTATAAAAGACATCAGGCTACCCCTTTTAGACTTGATAAGGATAAGGGGTGGTGCTCCTAAGGAGTTTACCATCTAGTGAAGGAGATAAAGCATGTTTGTAAATGAAGGCAGTACAAGGTAGGAATGAATGTGGAAGTTTCCCCTTGTCTGCAGACTCTCAGTGGGTGCCTAAAAGCACAGATAGTACTAAACCCTATATATACTATGTTTTTTCCTACACACACTATGATAAAGTTTAATTTACATTAGGCACAGTAAGAGATTAACCATAACTAATAATAAAATCAGACAATTATAACAGTATACTCTCATAAAATTCTGTGAATATGCTCTCTCTCAATATCTTATGGTACTATATGCACCCTTCTTTTGCTGAGGCGGGCTGATAAAACACCTATGCGATGAGATGAAGCTAGGTGAATGACGCAGGCTTCATGACTTAAGTTAGGCAACTACTGACCATCTGATGATTCGTCAGAAGGAGGGATCATCTGCTTCAGGATCTCAATTGACCACTGGCAACTGAACCTGCAGAGAGCGAAACCACAGATCAAGGGGCATGACTGTGTAAAAGGAGGCGATAACACGCCCTGCTGTGGAAGTTTAAAGAAAGAAGAAATTGAGCTTCCTGGAGGAAGTGGCACAGGAGCTGAGCCTTGAAAAAAGGGGAAGCTTTAGTAGGGGAAGCGCAATCTGGCAAGAGCAGAGAGTAACAGCCAGGAGTCACGTGGTTGATAGAGAATGGGGAGCAGCCACCCAGTTGGCTCTATTTGTTGGTAGAGCAGGAGCTGTGGGAAACCTGGGAAATCATGAGGAATCTACCAGCAGCACTTAAAGAGTCCACCCCTGATGAGCAATATAAAATTTACCATGGAGTAAGTGCCTAATTCTTCTTTGAAACCACCAGATGAAAAAAAATAAGTAAATAAATAAAAACTAAATAAAATAAAACAACCAAACTACATTTCTGGAGAAAGGAAATTATTTCTGCAGGTATGTTCAGCAATCTGCACATGTAGTCATTATTAATCATATGGGAGAGCATCATTTCCACTACATCTTTTTGAAAGGGTTTGGACGATACAATGCATAATACACATGAATCCGTTTCTCAACCTTTTTAGCGCTGGAGATCTTAGACATCATATAAACCAACTTCCTGCCCTTTCACTTTAAAAATGAGAATCTGAGAGCTAAGAGATAAATGACTTTCCCGAGGTCACACAGCTAGTTAATGGCATAGCCCATTTCAACAAAGTTCCTCTGGTTCTCAGACATGGTGCTTTCCATTACAAATGTTCTGCCTTCTTACGTCATAGGAATTATAGGAAAGCACCACTGGATGTTTTATATACAATGAAAATTAAAATTACAGAGTTGATGCAATACTCAAAAATCTATTGAACCGGGGCGCCTGGGTGGCGCAGTCGGTTAAGCGTCCGACTTCAGCCAGGTCACGATCTCGCGGTCCGTGAGTTCGAGCCCCGCGTCGGGCTCTGGGCTGATGGCTCGGAGCCTGGAGCCTGTTTCCGATTCTGTGTCTCCCTCTCTCTCTGCCCCTCCCCCGTTCATGCTCTGTCTCTCTCTGTCCCAAAAATAAATACACGTTGAAAAAAAAAATTAAAAAAAAAAAATCTATCGAACTGAACTGGCAGCAAAGACACAAATTCTAAGACCATAAAAAGCAGACCACGACTTAGCTTAGCAGCTGTACAGTGAATATACTCTTAGATCACCAGACTAAAATGTTAAAGAACTAACTGTACTCTCTTCTGGGCTTTGCTACTGGTTTGCTTCGTTTCTGTTCCTTCAGAAAGGGTGGGCACCATTGTAGCTGGTGAGAAGTCCTCCAGATTCTGCCAGAGGGCTCTCCTGTCATTCCAAGAAGTCAGAGTCCCTGGAATTACTTT